AAGATTTATTGGAAGCACAGACTGCCGGGCTGATTCTCAGGTTCAGAGTGCAGCAGCTTAGCTGGAATGGGTAGTGGGCTTTATAGGAGGGGGCTACACTGTAGGGGAGAGAGGGTATTTCTTCTAGAGAACAGGCAGGCCACTGGTCCCCGTTTATCTGTGCTCACCAGATGGAACAAGTCGACATGCATAGCTAGTTGAGAAATGGGAAGTTCCTGCAGTTTTGCAAGCAGGGTAACAAGCAGGAGAGTTTTGCAAGTGGTCATAAATCAGGGGGTCTGGTTTCGGCATTAGCCTTGGGACTGTCCACCTGCCCCAAGAATGCCAGGGACCTAACAAAATCAACCTGGGAAGAAATCCAGCAACACCACAGGTATCAGCAAATACCTCTCAGTAATAACTCTAAATTTTAATAGTCTTAACTCTAATCAAAAACATAGACCAACTGATTGGATTAAAAACTAGATCCAACTATTTATTGTCTACAAGAAACACACCTCCCAAACATATAGACTAAAAGTGAAAGGATGGAAAACAATATGCCATGCATGTGGAAATTGAAAACAAGTAGGAGTAACTATACTCATAGTAGAAAGTAGTCTTCAAGCCAAAATTAGGAGCACTAAAGAAGGAAGTTTTACTACAAACTAGTAAAGAGGAGAATCCATTAGGAAGATATAACCATTGTAAATTTACATGTGCTGAACTTCACTGCTTGCAGTTTCATAAAACAAACACTGTAGACATACAGAGCCAGATTGGGCCAGATAGAATAATAGTATATGACTTTATCATCCCACTGACATCAGTAGATAGGTCATCCAGCCAAAAAAACAAACAAAAAATCAAGCCAGATTCTCAGAGTTAAGCTGCACCATAGATCAAATGGACATAACAACCTTCTACATAGTTCTCCTTCCAACAGCTATGGAATATACATTCTTCTCAGCAGATCACAGCACTTCTTCCAAAATAGATCACATTTTAGGCCATAAAGCAAATCTTAACAAATACAAAAATTGAAATAATTTTCATATCAAAATGGAATAGCATTAGAAATAAACAGCAAGAGAAACTGTAGAAACTATACAAACACATGGATATTGAGCAACATACTTTGAATGATTAGTGGGTTATTGAAGAAAGCAGTGACGAACTTAAAAAAATTCCTAGAGAATCAAATGAAAATGAAAACACAATTTGCCAGTATGGGACACAGCAGAAGCAGTGCTAAGAGGAAAGGTTATAGCTAGGAGTGCCTACATTAAATAATTAAATATTTCAAAATTGTAACCTTATCATTCATCTCAAGCTCTTAGAAAAACAAGAACAAGCCAAATCCAAAGCAGTAGATGGAAAAAAATTATTAATAAAGGTTAGGGCAAATATTAATGAAATGAAGACTAAAAGGATAATACAAAGAATCTATTAAGAAGTTGTTCTTTGAAAAGACAAACAGGATTTACAAACTCTTAGCCAAACTAACAAAAAGAAAGACCCAAGTTAATGAAATTTGAGATGGAAAAAATTGAACCAAGGAGATATAAACAACTCAAACAGATTTATAGCAAGAGTGAGATTGAAGCAGTAATAAAGAATCTCCCCACAAATAACAGCCCATAATCAGATGGATTTACTGCTGAATTCTACCAGACCTTTAAAGAAGAACTAACACCAGTGCTCCTCATATTATTTCATAAAATAGAAAGGAGCTGGTGCTGGTGTCTCTCTCCTATAATACTAGCTATTTGAGAGGCTAAATCAGGATTGTGGTTCGATGCCAACCCTTGGCAAATAGTTCACATAGACCCTGTCTCCAAAATAAACAGAGCAAAATGAACTTTGCTAGAATGAAGCCCAGAATTTAAACCCCAGTCCCACCAAAAAGAAAAGGGAAAGGAATGCTACGAAACTCATTCTATGAAGCTAGCATTACCTTGAAACCAAAAGCAGAGAAGGACCCAGCAACAACAATAACAGAGAGAGAGAGAATATGAATGAATTACAGACCAATTTCCTTGATGGATATAGACACAAAAATTCTTAACAAAATAATTACAGGACTGGAGGTGTAGCTCAAGTGGTAGAGCGTCTGCCTAGCAAGCACAAAGCCCTGAGTTCAAACTCCAGTACCACAAAAAAACCCCACAAAACTTACAAACTAAATCCAACAACATGTAGTAAAGACCATATAGTCTGATCAAGTTGGTTTCATTCCAGTAATCAGAGTGTCATTCAACATATGCAAATTAATATAATACAGTACAGAAACAGAATTAAGGGTAGAAATCACACAATCTTAATAGATGCAGAAAAAGCCTGTGACAAAACTCAATAATTCATGATAAAAGTCCTAGAGACAGTAGGAATTGAGGGCCCTACCTCACATAATAAAGTTTGTATATGACACATTGATATCCAGCATCATACTCATATGGGAAAAAACTGAAATTTTTTTTCTAAAATCAGAAGCAAGAGAAGACTGTCCACTTTCTTCACTTTTATTCATTATAGTGCTTGAATTTCTTAGCCAGAGCAATAACACTAAAGAAATAAAAGGGATACAAACAAGAAAGGAAAAAGTCAACTTACCCTTTCTGCAAATGATGTGATCCTAAGAGACTAAAGACCATACCTAAATTAATAAATAAATAAATATCTTAGATCTGACAAACACTTTTAGCAAAGTAGCAGGATATCAACTCAACATGCAAGTATCAGTAGCTTTTCTATACCAATAACAAACTTGCCTAGAAAGAAATCAGGAAAACAGTCCCATTTACTATAACCTCTAAAAATAGAATAAAATACCTAGCCATAAAGTTAATCAATAATATTAAAGACCTCTACAATGAAAAAAATGACCTCTGCAATGAAAAGAATGAAACACTGATGAAAGAAATTGAAAGGAGTAATAAAGAATCTAGAAGATGTTCCTGGGTTGGCAGAATTAATATTGTGAAAATGAGTATACTACTGAAAGTAATCTATAGATCCAATGCAGTCCTTATCAAAATTCTAATGACATTTTTCAGAGAAACAGAAAAGTCAATTGTAAAATTCAGATGGAAGTATAAAAGAGCCCAAATAGCCAATGCCATCCTGAGCAAAAACAGCAATGCTGGAATTACCCAGATTATACCATGGAGCCATAGTAACAAAAACAGCATGGCACTTTCATAAGAACAGACATGTAGACCAGTGGCACAGAATAGAAGACTCAGAAATAAAGCCACACTACTGTAGCCATCTGATCTTTGACAGAAGTTCTTTTTAACAAATGATGTTGGGAAAACTGGGTATCTACATTTAGAAGACTAAAACTAGATACCTGTCCTCACCCTGTTTAAAATCATTTCAAAATGGATCAAAGACCTTAATGCAAGACCTGAACCTCTGAAACTGGTAGAGTAAAACATAAGGAAACCACTTGAAGATATAGGCATAGGCAATGACTTTCTGAACAGGATACCAATAGCTAGGAAATAAGAGCAAACACTGACAAATGGGATTGACTATCAAATTTAAAAAATTCTACACATTAAAGACAATAATTACCAAAATAAAGGGCCAGCCTATAGAATAGGAGAAAAATCTTTGCCAGCTACTCATTTGACAAGAAATTACTATCTAGATTATATAAACCACTCAAAATTAAAAAACAACCTCCCCCCAAATAATCCAATTAATATATGGGCAAATGATTTGGAAAAAACAAAAAAATAATAATTCTCAAGACAGATACAAAATGGCTAACAAATACATGAAGAAATGTTCAGTATCCTCAGCTATATGAAATGCAGATGAAAAATGACATTGAGATTCAGTCTTACCCCCTCAGAATGGCTGTGGTCAAGGAAAGACAAAACCAAATGCTGTCAAGGATGTAGGAAATGGAACCCTTGTGAAAATGTCAATTAGTTCAGACACCATGGAGGTTCCTCAAAAACTAAAACTAGAACTACCATATGATCCTGCTATATACCACATTTGGGCATATACCCAAAGGAATGTAAGTCATCATACTATAGAGATAGCTGCCCACCCATGTTTATAGCAGAAATATTCACAGTATCCAAGCTGTGAAATTAGTGCAGATGGTGATTCCACCCTTATCTATTCCAACGAATGGATAAAGAAAATACAGTATATTTACATAATGGAGTATTGCTTAGTCAGAAAGAATAATGAAATTATGTTTGCAGAAAAATGGATGGAACTAGAAATCAATATGTTAAGTAAAATAACCCAGACTCAGAAACAGAAACACTGTATGTTTCTCTCATATGTAGAATACAAATTTAAAGAAATACATACATGAAGTAAAAGGGGCCTTGTTAGGGGGATGGGGACAACCTGGAGGGGTAGGAAGAAAGGTAAGGGTGATGGGGGTGGTAAATGTTATCAAAGTACAAAAAACAAAAATAAATCGGGACCTGATTTAAATTGTAGGGAGAAAAATACATGTATGTATGTATAGGAAAAATGTCTGCAACAGAAAGTATGGGAGTAATTACTTGAATTACTCATGTGATTAACTTGAAGTAGACTCCACCATGGTGTTTTTAGCACAGTATGGTTGTAGAATGCTTCAGATTCTCTAATCAGGTGTTAATTTTGAACTTGAGGGAAAATGATTATTTTATTAAGCTGAAGGCATTAAATTATAAAACTGGAGAGGTAGCAGTGCTTCACAATTTTTTCAGAATGTCTGTTGGGATTAGTGATTATTACAATAACAGGTATTTTCCTTTGTGTCACACTTCTGAACAATGTAAACTTGAAGCACTGAGTATCATTACGTGATGTAGCATATTGAATAATTTGTGCTTAGTAACAACTACAGATAATTTTTACTTCTTTTATTTCTGAGAAATTCATTGTTACCTTTCAAAATGTTGTCCTCTATTGACTGTTTAAAGCAAGTTTTTCTGCCTTTTAGTGGGAATTTCTTATGCCCTCAGAATAATACCTTTTACTTTTTATTTGTTATTTCTCAGGTAAACGCAAAGCACTGAAGTTGAATTTTGCAAATCCACCTGTCAAATCTACAGCAAGGTTTACTCTGAATCCCAATACTACAGGAGTCCAAAACCCACACATGTGAGTATTCTCATTAATCAAATAAAAGGCTCAACTCAAGCAAGGGTTTTAAAGTTAATGTATCTTATGATTTTTTCCGAGCCAAGTGGTTGGCATTTCCATCACCTTATAACTATTTGAAATATTACTGTTTGAACTTAATAGAAAATTCTTGATTCTATAGTCTTAAGTTGTTAAATACAATTTTCCTCTTTATCACTTTACTTCAGAAAAAAGAGCCCAAGATGCAGATGTATTTACATTTTTTTAATACCTCTTGCCAAACTTCCTGAAAACATTGTTTATCCTGTTTCCCTGGATTTCCAGTTACATTGCCCTCTGTATTTAATGTATTCAATTGTCCCTCACTGTGTAAATCCTCATCACTTACTGACAAAATAGGTCCCATTCTTAGTAAACTAAATTTCTGAAAAGACTTCATTCATAGTAAATTGAAAGTTGTGTGCATGTCAGTGTACAGGTATCAATGATTTTTTATTTAGTCACTGAATATTTTTAAAAAAATAGAATGTGTCATCTTACTGAAAATATTATTAGAAACATGTTAGTTAATTTAAAATAACTTCAGGACAATATTTTACATTAGCCTTAAATTTAAGTGATGTGATACATTAAATCATAATCTCTTCTTAAATTTATCCTGAACATGACGGTGGTGGTGCTGCATTTATACCTATACTCATAAAAATACTTTTCAGATGGTCCTAGTGTTGTGAATTCCAAAACAATCAGTGAAAAATACTTAAAAAACTGGCACAGAGCCAGGAGGATCACAGACTGTCAGACCTTATCTGAAAAACAAACTAAAAGCAAAAGGACTGGGGATGTGATTCAGGCTGCAGAGAGGTTGTCTAGAGGCTCTGCCTTCACTTTCCAGTTACCAACCCCCCTCCCCCCCCAAAAAAAAAGCTGTAGCAGGATACATTAGATAACTTCTTAGCAATTTAGATTCAAACCTTAGTAGACTTCCAAATATATTTAGTCCTCCCAAGGAGGGATATTTATTTCTATTTTCTTTTAATGGTTAGTATACATTGTATTTGCAAACAGTAGCATGTTCGTAGAAGGCATAGGGTCCTTTGATAGGCATGCCTAAAACATTTTGTTATTTTTGAAATAGCAGTGTAAGGGTGTATGTGTGTGTGTGTGTGTGTGTGTGTGTGTGTGTGTGTGTATGTGAATATATACTCATGTTTTCACCTGAGGCCTTAGAATGAAAGGTACATTAAATGAATATTGCAGTAACAATTTATTTGACTAGAAATGCTATCAGTTTTACTAGACTGGCACTCATAATAAGATTTTTCTTCAGAGCTCACCTTTACCTTCTTTGAGACATCAAGTGAGAGCTATATTGAGCAAGAAACCTAGTACTTTTTAATTAGTCAAAGGACTGCTGGAGTGGCTCAAGTGGTAGAGTGCCTGCTTAGCAAACATGAGGCCCTGAGTTCAAACCCCAGTGCTGCCAAAAAAAAAGAACACCAGCTGCAAGAAAATGTTCTCAAAAGAGTCTTCTTCCTCATTTCCTAGAAGTTTCTTATGAAAGCTAGTATAAAACTAATTCTGAAATGTCCAATTCTATTACTTTGGTTACTAGCTGAGCTACATATTTGAAGTCTTAAGAAACAAAGGACATATATAGTAATCACCCAGATTATCAAATCTCTCATTTAAAAAGCCCTTTTCAACAGGGGAAAGAGATCCTGACTTAAATTTAGAACTGGAAGGACATTTGCATATTTCCACTCTTCTCTGAGTTCCTTTATTTATGGAGATTTCATGGACAAAATCTCTTTGTATTTCTGTTTTTTAAATAAGTAAACACAGGGTGAAAAAAGCTTTCGTTTGTAAATAAAAGTTGAGTTGGTTGGTTCTAATTTTAATTTTTAACTAATGTTTTCTAATAATCCTGTAACCAGTTAGATTTTCCATTCTGTTTCTCAGCAAATGTTAATGTTTGAGAGGACATGGTAATAGGTATTTTTACCTTATGATAGAATCTTTAGAACTTGATTCTTCCATATAAAAATTTTAGAACCAGACTTTGTTGGAATTTTATTGTTACACAGATCTTTTGACCTGGATAAGAAGTAGACAACTGCTGGCAGTGGTAATTGTTTTATTTCAAAGGACCATGTATGTCTCTGCCTCCCCAGAGCCTTCTATAAAATGGCCTTTTATTCTCCTCCTCTGAGTTGTGCACCAGCAGGCACTTAAAAACCATTGGTAGTTACTGTTTAGGATAAGTACTTTGCAGTTAGAAAACATTACTTGCAGTTTGTGGAGTTTTGAACTAAGCTATCTCTTGCTATTTTATGTTTTTCCTCCTAAAATATCCTTGAGCTTTAGTTATTGATATAATGTAAATCTTGTTCATGAATTTAGGAAAAGAAAAAGATATAATGAAGATATGTCTAGGTACTAGTTTCAGATCTACCTGGCATTTTATTTCTGCTGAGTGCAATTGAAAGATTAAAAAAAAAATTGCAAGATGGCATCTCTAGTTTCTAAGAACCAACAGTTTAAGTGAAATTCAAGAAATGAGAGTTGGCTATAGCAATTCAAGAAGTTAGGAAGGCATGAGGTAATACAGATTGAGTCATATGGAAGGTACGGGGATGGGGAGGTTAAGATAACTTTAGATAAACTACTTGGTGAAAAGTTTCACAGAGGAGAAAGATTTGAATTGTATTTTGAAAGACTGGGAAGGAAAGATGGAGAGAAGGGAGAATAGCATTTTGGTGAGTTAAGTGTAAAATTGGGGAACCACGTGTAGATCTACTTAATTGTAGCAGAGATGTTATTTACAGATTACCTTTTTTCCCTATTGGAAGCTTTTAGCATTGTTTCTTTATAATTGGTATTCTATTATATGAGGGTGTGCCTATGTATAGAGCATCTCTGTGTACTAGATGAACTATTTTATTTATTGGTGTTAGTTTGTTGTTTTAGTTTTTGATGGTACTGGAGTTTGAACTCAAGTCCTTGAATTTGTTAGGCAGGTGCTCTACCACCTGAGCCATGCCCTAGTGTTTTTTTTGCTTCAGCTATTTTTTTAGATAAGGTCTCATGCTTTTTGCTCAGGGCTAGCCTTGAACTCTAATCCTCCTACCTATGCCTCCTGCATAGCTGGGATTGCAAGCTTATTTGTTGAAGTGGATCTTGCTAAATTTCTTTGTTTTTTTGGTCCTGGCTGGCCTTGAACCACAATCCTCCCAATCCCTACCACTTTAGTATCTGGGATTACCAGATACATCTTTTTAGTTTAAAGATCCACGTATCTGTTTCTAAGACAATTTCTGCTATTTTCCTTTTGATACATTACTTTGTTTTTTCTATCATCTATACTTGAAATGAGTTTTTTGGCTATTGGACTTCCTGAATTCCCTGTGATTTTTATATTTTAATTTATATTTTCCATCTCTTTTGTTTTCTTGCTAAGACTAATTTTTTGGCCTGTGTGTGGAATGTTCTATTCTGGCAAACTGTTTTAATCTCTTAAGGTTTGATTGTGGCTTTTTCTTAGTATTATCTGTCCTCTGGATTATGTTTACTCTGTGGTTAGCTTTTTTGTCTTTCTCTTTTATAATTTTTAAAACCATCTTGTAATTCTTGATTTTCCATTGTTTGGAACATCTGATTATGGGTCATCCCCTGGTGGGTTTGGTTTTACTTTCCTGTGAGTAATTTGAGAGCTCCCTGTTAGACGTGGAATAGTATAAATGCCAGTGAGCAGGGCATACCTTCTTCCCATGTATGTTTGTTGTTTTTTTTTAGAGACACGCTCCCTTTGCGTTATGCAGGCAGCTTGAAGGGGAAATGTGCCACTCACTAGACCTTTCTATAGAGATGATTTTATTTTCTTGAAAGTATTTATTTATGAGACTAGAGTCTTATGGAACCCAGTCTGACCTCGAATTGACAATCCTGCTTCAGCCTTTCCAGTACTGGGATTTCGTGTGTGTATCACCATGCCACCTCCACTATAGAAATAATTTTAATTCAGTTGTTTCTAAGCTTTCATTCTTTTTAATTTCGAATCCTCTCTTTTAAAGTTCTGTTGTAATCATCACTTATTTCGTATTTGTTGCATATTCAACCTCCTACCATGTGTCATGGTACTAATAGTTTTTCTATTACTCTTGCTCTGTCCTTTGTGTTTCAGGGAATCAAACCCAGGGCCTTCTGCATGCCAAGCCAGCTCTCTATCACTGAGCTATGTACCCAGCCCTCTATTTCTCTCTGGGTGTTACTGGGGTTTTGAAATCCAGGCTTCATGCTTACTGGTCAGGCACTCTATTTCTTTAGCCTCTAGTTCCTTTTGTTTTGGGTATTTTTGAGGTATGATCTCTCTTTTTGCCTAGACTAGCCTGGACCAGGATCTTCCTGTGTACGCTTCCTGTAGTACAGTAGCAGAGGTGACAGACACATGCCGTTATATTGAACTATTGGTTGAGATAGAGTCTTACCCTATCTTCCTGATCTCCACCTCCTGAGTAGGTAAGATTACAGGTATGAGCCACTAGCACCTGGCCAGTGTTGTTTTTCCTATTTCTACATCCCCCTTACTTTTTTTTTTTTTGCAGCACTGGGGCTTGAACATAGGGCCTACACCTTGAGCCACTCCACCAACACTTTTTTATGATGGGGTTTTTCAAGAAAGGGTCTTGCGGAACTATTTGCCTGGGCTGGCTTTGACCCGCGATCCTTCTGATCTCTGCCTCCTGAGTAGCTAGGATTATAGGCGTGAGCTACTGGTACCCAGCCATCCCCCTTACTTTTAACTAAAGCTCAGCCATTATTTCTTTCATAAATACTCCAGAATGCCTTTCTGAAAAGCAAGGATTCACTTTAAAAAATAAAATCATGGTGCCTTTATTACATGCATTAGAATAAATTATTCTTTAATACATCAAACAGATTGCCTTGTTAGTATTTTTTTTTTGGTAATAGTTTGAAGCAGGATCTAAACAAGGTTCTGCACCAAGTACATGAGGTTG